ATCACTTTTTTCCTCTTACTCTTGTCACAAGCTACACACTCACTTCTATGTACATCGAATTGTAATTTTACCAGATTATCGTTTGTCGATTACGCAAATGCCTTCAACTCGACGACTACAGTGTGTACAAACTTTCCTTTATTATACGTCGCCTCCAGTTAGTTTCTAGAGTCATTATTTCTACTTTATCGATATCTACTGTGTGATTATTGTCGTATACATGTTTAGCTAGCTTCGAGCTTTCATAATTGTTCCTAATTGCTCGTTTATGATCGATCATACGTTTACTACGTGTTCGTCCAATTTCGCCAAAATAATGTTTATCACAGCTGTTACAATTGATTTTATAAACTAACTTTTTCATTCTTTTTTCCGGATCTTGTCCTTTTTGCAAAGACAAAAAAAATACGCTTCGTATTGTTGAGTATTTTCGAAAGAAAAAGTTAAGGGTCAGATGAGGCAGTAGCGTACGACAGATCTTTTTAATACGTTGTGAAAACATAAATGTTTTTTGACCATAATATGGTAATACAAAAAATACTGTTTTTACTGTTTTCTGTTGTGGCTGCCGTGGCCTTGTAGAATACGTTTAGTAATTATACCACCTTCTCTAATACCACGTTTTATAATATGTGGTGGATAGCCGTTTGATGTTAATGTTGTTTTTAATCGATCGATTTCAGTTTTCCTATTTTCTGGTGTCGAACAGATTCTCATAATTCTAATTACCAATGTTTTTATCAGCCCAAGTTTATACTTCCGAGATTGATTTGACTCATATAGCATGTATAAGTCCGTGTTAGTAGGCTTGCGGTAAATGGTTGTTATGTATTTATCATCGTCCCGGATTACCAATACATCCAAGAAGGGTAAACGTTGATTCGATTCAAATTCAACGGTAAATTTAATGTTTGAGTGCCAATTATTAATGCGTGATAAAAATTTTTGAATTTTTGGTTGACTAATGGTGAAGATGTAAAACACATCATCTACATAGCGCAACAACATGATAGGCTTATTTGTAGAGAATCTATTAATCTTGTGTTGCATCTTAGACATAAACAGATCTGCTAAGATCGGGGCCAAAGGACTACCCATGGCCACCCCGTCCACTTGTACATATCGATCGTTCATAAACCTGAATGGTACATTACATACACAAAGCTGGAGTAATGTTTTCATTTGTTCTCGATTATGAACATATGAACAGCAAAAAGAAATAAAGAAAAGAAGAAACTAACATTGATTTGATCTATATTCATTTTCAAAATTCAAGGAACGTTTTCTTTTCAAGAACAAATAAGAAAGAACAGCCATCTTTGTCTTTTTGTATATAACTCTGTTAAATGTTCCATTTTAGTCAGCCTGAAGATGATGTTAGTAAGACATCGAAAGCTCGCTAACGAATAAAAGTGTTTTGTTCAAAATGATTTTCATGGCAGTGTTATATTTCTTATATTCTCGATTATTTATTACTGCTTTACCCTCTGCGTTTATAAAATTCTATGTCATTATCTACCATTAATTTTAGTTTGTCTATACATACCGTGTTTATATGCCTGGTGGATACCATTCTCTCCACAACCATATCAATTTGATCTAACACAAATGGTCTGTGGTGATGAATATTTTGCAACTGTGAATCCCTATGCTACAATTGATACACTTACAAATGCATTTTCACCAATTATAATTACACTTATAATTAATCTGTTGATTTTAATACGAGTAATTCTATTAAAACGTGTTACAACAACCTCTACTACTAGTGCGAATAATAATAAATGGCGGAAGAATCGTCGCATGATTATTCAATTAACAGCTATATGTGCTATTACAATGATTGCATGGATCCTATACTGTGTTATTATATTAGGAGAAATGTATCATATGTATGTATGGATTATTTATTTTCCTACTTGTAATACTCATCTGCTTTTATTAGTAAGCCGTGAATACAAGTTAGTTTTTAGTGATAAATCGATGTCTGCGCTTAACTTCGTGCAAAAACGTTCGTTCAGCGCTCAGCTTGACAAATTTGAATGAAAACGTTTTCAAGGTTTTCTCCATATGTCATCTCGCAATGAAATAAGTTAGATTTAAATTTACGTAAACGTTCTTGTTCGGAGTTAGTCAGGGAGTAAATTTCAAAGATTGAAATACAGTTAAAAAGCCTCCAAACAGTAAGGACATACCGAGAAAACACGATAATATTTTCCTCTCGACTGAAAGTTAGGGTCATATGAACAATATATGTCCCTGTTTAATCAACCTGGGAAAAGTTTTCATAGCATGGTTTAGCTGTTCAATGTGCTTAAGTGAGTTTCACATGCTCAATCTATTGGCGAAGTCGAAAACCGGACTTTGAACTTTTCAGTTTCCAGAGAATCAGAAGATGTTTGGGCTTGCCTCTTAATAAGGGAGTTAGAAATTTGATATTGGACCTTGAAGTTAAAAAGATTCAGAAAAACAGTCAGTGTTATTGACGAAAAGATCTTATACAACACAGAAAAAGTAGTTCTATTCATATGTGTACGAAAGTAAATAGAAAAAAAATAAAAAAGAATGTATTGCACCAGAAAAATGAAGGAGCTTCTGCTTTTACTACAACACTGTCTTCGAAAAAACATATCTAAACAAGCATACATAGCACCACTGTAGTAACAAACTGATCGAAACAAAAAGAGCAGGAGCCAGTTGATTCGATTTTGATTTTGGAGTTGTTGCACTTATTGTTGCACTGCTTGTTGTGCTCGTAGTAGTTGTGGTGCTGGTTGTGGTGGTATTAGGAGCCGGAATTTGATCCGGGAATGGAAATTCTTTAACTAATATTTGTAGAACAGTTTCGAGCGAATTACCTCCATTACACGAGTTTTGAGTGCAGGCATAGACAAGCATGTCCGTATTTTCCACTTTATCAGAGTTGCGTAGAGAACGTGTCGACTGAACAAAAAGAATGGCGTCCTTGACATACTGTTGGCATCGCTGTGAACTTATGTCGGAAATATTCGTCTCGTGTGTCTCAAGCTCACACGATCCGTTACACACTGTAGCCGTTGTTGAGCTTTTGTTATAACATTGGACGGTTTCATTTAGATTTTCATTTGAGTAGACCAGTGGTAATAAAGTATCGTACAGTTTCAGATAAGTCTGAGTGTAGTTTGAAATAAATTTTGGTAGAACTTGAGTAATATAATCGAAATCGCATCCATCTTGTGTCCCACACCTGTAGGTTATAGTCGTGTCAATTTCTCTTCCAACTTCTTTAAACTGAAAAATTGTATCTTGATCGAGCGAACTTACATACAGATTGCTAATTGGACTAAAACTTATGTTCAGTTGATAATTGACACTATCGATTATAACTCCTACATAACATCCCGTTGTACGTGGATCAACAGAAAAATTACTTCTACACACTGTAGTCGTCGAGTTGAAGGCATTTGCGTAATCGACAAACGATAATCTGGTAAAATTACAATTCGATGTACATAGAAGTGAGTGTGTAGCTTGTGACAAGAGTAAGAGGAAAAAAGTGAT